CCCCAAAACCCCAAAACCCCAAAACCCCAAAACCCCATATCAACCTGTTTGTATTGAGAAACACTGTATGATTCGCTTAGCATAATCATCAATTTTATCCCTAATTCCAAATTTTACTATAATAGACGAAAACTTTGTCTCACTCAGAAGCTAAAGGAGTTGCGCATTTTTATGGCTCAATAGATTTTTAGATTGAATCACTAAATATTTTGAAGACTTTGCTTTTGAAAGATGATAATGAGTGGTATAGCTATATAAAGAATTAGATATTTCAAGAAGCTGCTTCTAGGTATGCAGTAATAGACTTATAGTCACCAATTCTGTAGAGAATATCGATGGACTGTTCATGGTCAACTCCTATCTTTGAGTTACCTCCAAGCTTAATCATTGAGAAAAACTTCCTGAAGATAGTCTTTGTTAGTGTCACATTGTACGACTTCTTCTTCTTTTCGGATTCATTGAGCTTCATCATCAATTCAGCATCTTCAAGCTTGCTTTGAATAAACTGACTTTGTAGGATTATTTGATATTCATCACTTTCCAGTTTGGAATCAAGGACTTCTTTTTCGTCTTTTTCTTCTTCAAAGCCAAGATGGCAGAACTTAATCTGAACGCTATCTTCATTTAGGAGGTTGTATCTATCAACGAATTTTCCAAAGAAGTTCTCATTGATGCCTCTAGAAACTTCGAAGCTTATTTCTTTAGGGATTATATTTTCTGGATATTTCTTTGGGTCAAATATAGTCTCAATCTCAATGAAATAGTTAAACTTTTCACCTTCGCTATCTGATCTACAGCCTGTTTGGAGATACTTTTTTATTCCAGCTGTGGTCTCCCTCTGTGTGAGCTTAAACTCTCCTTCGGCCTCCATCTCTACCATAACTTTTAGGGAATCCATGAACTCTGAGAACTTGTACGGAGTGATGAGAACAGCATTGTTCTCTCATTGAGAAGTTACCACATAGTTCTTGCAGAACCCTTCTGCTACTCCTGTTTTAGCGTCAGGGATTGGTCTGATGTGCACTCTTCCAAATATTTGATCAAATGCCAATTTCTCATCTGGATATATCACTATGTCTTCTTCAGTGAAGAACAAGTTTATCTGTTCTCCTGATTTCCATAAAGAATTTAACTGTGTCAAGATCTTGTATAGGATATGGAGGTTCTGAATACTAACAGAGAAATTAAGTTTCATCAATATAACCCACAATTCTTTCAATTTATATCATCTTTATCGGGGTTTTGGGGTTTTGGGGTTTTGGGGTTTTGGGGTTTTGGGGTTTTGGGAAATAAGGTTATATTGGTTAGTTCAATTTTGGGTGGTTGGAAGGGGTTTTGGGGTTTTGGGGTTTTGGGG